GAAACTTTTTTTACGAATTCAAGGCATCGACTACAGCAACTTCGCACAAAAAACGGGTGACCTTTCGAAAAAACCAATTTTTAAAAAAATTTTTTCGATTTTTTCTGACATTTTGACTAATAAACGAAGGGTAGCGAAAGGGCTAGGGCAATGAAACTTTTTTTTCTTATTCGGGGCATTAAGTGCATGTACTTTGCACAAAAAACGGGTGACCATTCGAAAAAACCAATTTTTAAAAAAATATTTTTGAATTTTTTCAGAAATTTTGACTAATAAACGAAGGGTCGCGAAAGGGCTAGGGCGATGAAACTTTTTTTACGAATTCAGGGCATCGACTACAGCAAATTTGCACAAAAAACGGGTGACCTTTCGAAAAAACCAATTTTTAAAAAAATATTTTTCGATTTTTTCTGACATTTTGACTAATAAACGAAGGGTAGCGAAAGGGCTAGGGCAATGAAACTTTTTTTTCATATTCGGGGCATTAAGTGCATGTACTTTGCACAAAAAACGGGTGACCATTCGAAAAAACCAATTTTTAAAAAAATATTTTTGAATTTTTTCAGAAATTTTGACTAATAAACGAAGGGTCGCGAAAGGGCTAGGGCGATAAAACTTTTCTTACGAATTCAGGGCATCGACTACAGCAACTTCGCACAAAAAACGGGTGACCTTTCGAAAAAACCAATTTTTAAAAAAATATTTTTCGATTTTTTCTGACATTTTGACTAATAAACGAAGGGTTGCGAAAGGGCTAGGGCGATGAAACTTTTTTTACACATTCGGGGCATCAAGTGCATGTACTTCGCACAAAAAACGTGTGACCTTTCGAAAAAACCAATTTTAAAAAAAATATTTTTGAATTTTTTCAGAAATTTTGACTAATAAACGAAGGGTCGCGAAAGGGCTAGGGCGATGAAACTTTTTTTACGAATTCAGGGCATCGACTACAGCAACTTCGCACAAAAAACGGGTGACCTTTCGAAAAAAACCAATTTTTAAAAAAATATTTTTGAATTTTTTCAGAAATTTTGACTAATAAACGAAGGGTCGCGAAAGGGCTAGGGCGATGAAACTTTTTTTACGAATTCAGGGCATCGACTACAGCAACTTCGCACAAAAAACGGGTGACCTTTCGAAAAAACCAATTTTTAAAAAAATATTTTTGAATTTTTTCAGAAATTTTGACTTATAAACGAAGGGTCGCGAAAGGGCTAGGGCGATGAAACTTTTTTTACATATTCGGGGCATCATGTGCATGTACTTCGCACAAAAAACGGGTGATCTTTCGAAAAAACTAATTTTTAAAAAAATATTTTTGAATTTTTTCAGAAATTTTGACTAATAAACGAAAGGTTGCGAAAGGGCTAGGGCGATAAAACTTTTTTTACGAATTCAGGGCATCGACTACAGCAACTTCGCACAAAAAACGGGTGACCTTTCGAAAAAACCAATTTTTAAAAAAAATTTTTTCGATTTTTTCTGACATTTTGACTAATAAACGAAGGGTCGCGAAAGGGCTAGGGCGATGAAACTTTTTTTACATATTCGGGGCATCAAGTGCATGTACTTCGCACAAAAAACGGGTCATCTTTCGAAAAAACCAATTTTTAAAAAAATTTTTTTCGATTTTTTCTGACATTTTGACTAATAAACGAAGGGTCGCGAAAGGGCTAGGGCGATAAAACTTTTTTTACATATTCGGGGCATTAAGTGCATGTACTTCGCACAAAAAACGGGTGACCTTTCGAAAAAACCAATTTTTAAAAAAATATTTTTGAATTTTTTCAGAAATTTTGACTAATAAACGAAGGGTCGCGAAAGGGCTAGGGCGATGAAACTTTTTTTACGAATTCAGGGCATCGACTACAGCAACTTTGCACAAAAAACGGGTGACCTTTCGAAAAAACCAATTTTTAAAAAAATATTTTTCGATTTTTTCTGACATTTTGACTAATAAACGAAGAGTCGCGAAAGGGCTAGGGCGATGAAACTTTTTTTACATATTCGGGGCATCAAGTGCATGTACTTCGCACAAAAAACGGGTGACCTTTCGAAAAAACCAATTTTTAAAAAAATATTTTTGAATTTTTTCAGAAATTTTGACTAATAAACGAAGGGTTGCGAAAGGGCTAGGGCAATGAAACTTTTTTTACGAATTCAGGGCATCGACTACAGCAACTTCGCACAAAAAACGGGTGACCTTTCGAAAAAACCAATTTTTAAAAAAATATTTTTCGATTTTTTCTGACATTTTGACTAATAAACGAAGGGTCGCGAAAGAGCTAGGGCGATAAAACTTTTTTTACGAATCCAGGGCATCGACTACAGCAACTTCGCACAAAAAACGGGAGTAGTATAGCTAGGCCGGTTCTGGCTCAAATCGGTAATGTAGATTCCTACTTACCGACCGAGAGGGTAAGTTACCGACCGTTGGTGGGGTATATGTGGGTAAGTTAACGACCGTTGGTGGTGTATATGTGGGTAATTTACCGGCCGTTGGTGGGGTACCTCATTTGCATATATTTAAATTAGTTAACCCTTTTAATTGACGTTAGTGGGGTACCTAATTTGCATATATTTAAATTAGTTAACCCTTTTAATTGACGTTAGTGGGGTACCTGATTTGCATATATTCAAATTAGTTAACCCTTTTAATTTGCATATATTTAAATATATGGAAAAGTTACAGAGCGTTGGTAGGGTACCTGATTTGCATATGTAAATTAGTTAACCCTTTTAATTTGCATACGTTTTCTATTGTTTATTATTTAACTTTCATTGTTTACCCTTTTAGTTTATGCAAATTCCACCCACTATCGACCCTTTTGGACGTAGAATATGCAAATACCACCCCCTCCCACCTCCCACTCACCTATATATTAGTTAACCACCCCCACCCACCCACTTTTTTCCTTTATATATATATTTCCAATATTACCACCCACTTAGTATAAACCAGAAATTTCAAAAATCGTATAGAGAAGCGCGAGGGATTAAGCGTTCGGGAGATACCGCGCAGGCGTTGTGGGTAGTGGGAGTGGGTGGTGGTGGGTGGTGATAAGGCCCAGTGCGCAGCAAAAGTGCGCGTACGGTTACCGCGTTGAGTGAGTGAAAGTTTCATGCGTCAGACCTGTCTACCTGACTCTTACTGCATGCTTCACTGGTACTACAGCACCATGGGGATAAATGTATTGTTCAAAAATATGTAAGCAAGATTCAACTTGTCTTTTTCTAAGATAACAATAGTATTTTTTGAATATCTTAAAGCATGTTTCAACCTGCATCTTGAATAGAATAAAGACATTGTCTAAAAAACCTTCAGACAGGTTTTAACTTGCCTGTTGATAATAACAAAGACATTCCTTAAGAAACCTTTTAGTGACGTTATTTTCATGCGAGTTTGAACACGTCTTCTAAATGACTCTTCTTTTGAGGTAGTTGCGTGCGCAGTCATTAAAGTGGGGGTAAAAGAGTGGGAGTTGAAGAAGAGTGGGGTTTACGGGATATAAGGTAGGTTGGAATCAACGATTCAACACTTCTATTAAAATTTCCAGCAGCAGCAGCATCAGCAGTATCAGCAACATAAGCAGTACTAGCAGTTTTAACAACTACAGCATCATCTACTCATTTGGTATGTAAATTTCACTTCCTTGATTGAAACATTTTGTGTTCCAAATTAGTTTTTTTTAAATTTAATATTAAAAATCCATCTTTTTTCTTTTCTTATAGATATTAAAACAATGGACTTCCAAAAAGTCAATGCCACTGGTCGCATGGAGAGATTTCTACCAACGAAGCCGCTTTCTGAGTTGACTGTGAATGAGTTATACAACGTAACTAAAATAAACAAGGTGCAGACCAAATATGGTTCTAGGATTGTAGTAGACTTGGATGCTACATTTACCACTTTTCTGCCGGCAAGGTTCGCAAAACTATTTGACGCTGACCCTACCTCATTCACAATGATGGAAGAAGCCGTACAGTTGGAGAAGTTGCGATTAAAATATATTGGTGGCAAATTTAATGTTATTGAATTTGAATAAGAATAAATATTATAATATTATACTGTAAAAATTATGTAAATATTTAAATGCTTATAATAATAAAAAAAATTACTTTTAAATTGCTTCTTTTATTATTCTACCTTCATATTTTAAACAATTTTTAAATTAATAGAATTTTGTATAACATTGTATAAGTAAATTTTTATTAAAGTTAAAGGAAAAAAAAATTCGAGTATATAATAATAAAGGAGTAGGTATATCAAGAAAGAAAGACAACATTTTTTAAAGTTATAAAATTCATTTATTTTTATATATATGTAGAAATTCAAACGTATTACAATAGTTGTTCATAATTTTCATAAAATGATTTCAAATTAGTATTCACATCATCCACTTCATCGACACCATTTGAGAAGTTTCTCAATTCACTTGTTACATTCAAAAACCAATTTCGAAGCTTAAATATATTGTTTACTGCACAATTTTCAGTTTGTGTAATATGATGTGTACATGTTGGTGGTAAAAATTCAGTTTTAATATTCTTAAACGCTGGACAGTCAATTTCTTCTAAATTGTATACATTCATTACATACTTTTCTAACCACTGTTTTTTTTCACTACCTTTAACATAGATAGTTTTTGCTCCTCGTAATGCATCTTGTAAAATGGTTCGCACTTTATCATAACACACATCTCCAACCATCCAAGGGATTGAATGATAGTTGTTTGTTAACCACAGGTTTTCACTTTTATAACGTCCAGGTAGTGAATTCCAAGCACAAGGTGGTTCAAAAAGGTAAACTCTTGGTTGAGCATCAGACTCCAGAGGAACTATAGCCAACTCTTTGAAAATAAACTCATTGCAGGGTTTTTTAAAACCTTGAACGTCTACTATGAACTCCATTTTAGAATAGAAATGAGTATCTGCTTCAGAAATATGTCTTATATACCTCTCCACTTCACCCCCACCACTTTGTTTCCCTCTCCACTTTCTTACAATTTCTTAATAATACCACTGATTGGTTTATACTGAACTATACGATCATGTATGACGAGACAATATGCAGTTGTATCAGCAGGTATATTTTCTCTAGCTTCAAATTCTAAAAGTACATCGACTGAAGACTGCTTTAAAAACTCATTTTGTTTCGAACAATCAATAACAATTAAAGGTGCTTTTGATTTAAAAGTATTAATAGCTAAAGTAGGTTCTGAATCTTTTCCATAATAAGAAGATTGAAAATTAGCATACATATCATATAATAAAGAATACTGATTTTGATCAAAATTTAAATTTAAATTTCCATAAGGGTAAGATTGTGAGTTCAAAAAGAGTTTTACATTTGTAATATTACAATGATCAAAGTAACAGGATGTATTTTTTAGTTTATTCTTTCTTCCAGTTTGAAATCCAACAATTACATATCGTGGTTTCTCTAATTGAGATGAAGATTTGAGTTGCCACATAATTCTTGAACTTTCTGGAAGTAAAGGATACTCATACATTTCCCACGATCGGAAACTCATAGAAATTAATGGATCCTTCTCAATAAATTTTAATAATTTAATTTTATTATTGTCTGATGGTAAAATATATGGTACTAACCATTCAATTTTATTAATTGTAATTTTAAATTCTTCATTATTGTCAAGATTTCCTGTTTGAATAACAGCATTTAAATCATTTCGTGATCTTATCAAAATGAGTTCATGTTTAGCATTCATAACAATTTTCTTATAATCTTCAGCAAAACCGAAAAGCATACTAAGTGGTACTGTTACATTAAAATAACCATTTTCTAAAGTCATTTTTAAATCCAAAGCAGAATATTCAAACACACCTGCATTTCCAACACGTATAAGTTGAGAAGGAGTTAGTGAAACCAGGTTTTTTATAGTTGAAGTATAACCAACATATTTGCAACGATCAATCTCAATACCATTTAATTCATAACGAATTTCATCAAATAAGTAAGCTATAGCATTGTTAATGAGATCAACATTTTCTGTTAAAGTATTTCCATCATTCTTTGTCAAGCGTCCAAATATATGTAAGAAACTGCTACTCGGTAAAATATATAAATCTTGATTCTGAACTATAATCCGAATTTCATCACTATTGTTGAAAGATGATGATGCATATGGTTGATGACTATGAATTTCATAATTTGCTATAGATTCATCAAAGTTCACTTGAGTTGGAATGCTGAGAATTTCATCCATTTTTCTTATAACAACGACACAAAATGAATAGATAGAATTTTTCACCTCTCTTCTGCTTCTTCTTTATTTTTAATGTCTGATTCGCAGACCAAGTTTCTTCAGAAATATTTGATTCTGAGGTGTTAACACCTTGCGAGTTACATTCACACTGCTTTTCTTTACACATGTTGGTTCACTTTTATAACTACCACCAACTTTTCTTTTTTGATTGTAAATAATTCCCATTACACTGATTTTATATGTAAACGTATTGTTATTGTCTCTCCTCTAAAATTTACTAAATTACCGTCCTGATCAACTATACGCAGCTGAATATTACATATTGTCTTTACGGTGACTGGATAGTAAATGACATTATTTGGAACTTCTATGATTTTATATCCAGTAGGAACAGAAGGATAAAATTGATGTATTGTATGTACTTTCTTTCCATTAATATATGATCCTGTTGTAATATTACACTCAACACGTATAGCATTCACCTTCATTATAGATATAATTGAATCAGAAACATTAACTGTATTTGCTCCAAGATACTTGGGAGAAAATCCAAATAATTGTCCTATACCATTTTCTTTTCTGAAGTCAATTTCACGATTAGATGCAATTGTACAGTGTAATGTATTTGTATCAACCATTATTTTTAAAACAAGACCAGTGCGTCTTATTCTATGTTCAATATGCTTTCTAATATCTTCGATTTCATAACTACCTGTAGGTATTTCTACATTGAAACCATCTATATAAAATGTATTAGCACCCTTATCAATGTTGGGAATTGAGTTAAATGTAAGGAGTTCAACAAGACCAAGAACATAATTTTTGTTAGATGATAGTTCAATTGATGGAAAGTATGAAGCCTCAAGGGTTGAAGAATTCCCTGATAACGTGAGAGTGATAGAATCATTCATGTTGAGTGTTTAGTTGTATACTGAAGCTTGAAATTGGTTACACATTCTTATATAGACTAAAGTTATTCTTCACTGTAAGTTGATTACACAGAAATTTAAGACACAAATGACCGCATATAAACGTATCAAAATTTTGATATCTTTCATGATTATATTTTATATAGCTACCAACACCTAAGTAAACAATGAGATCCAATGGTGGTGAAAGATTACCAAAACTGTCAAAGTATTCGGTTTCATTGTTCACCTTTTTATATGCAACCCAATGAGTTCCAGGACCTTCTTTATTATCAAGATTTATTATTGCTGATTCATATTGAAATGGCCCTCCTATGGGTAATTCATTTCTTATAAAGACTCCTCTAAAATATGGTATTTTTAAACTTTTAGAATATTTTAGAAGATCATAATCACTTAGTGCACGGTGAGGTAGCTTCAATATTAGTTTTTTGATATTTTTTTCTTATTATATAATCCTTTGCCCTTGTAAGGTTGCATATAAAGGCCAAGTCCCCGTTGATATGGTTTCATGTATAGACCTTTTCCTAAAGCAATGGATTCCATAGTATGATTATGTCGTTGAGCTTCTGAAAGTTCTTTCTTAGCAACATTAGCTTCATTAACAGCTTTCACTATACCGCTAATTCCACCACTAAGCGCCCCTAAAGCACTCAGTCCAGCAAAAATTGGTACAAGAGGTAAAATACCCCCAACTTTTGAGGGTATAGGAAGAATTCGAGGTGATATAATCTTAGATTTACCGCCATACTGTTTTATAGCCTTTTTTGCACCAATCATAGCAGTTCTAATTGTATCTAAAGAGTTGTTATTAGATTTCATAGACTTTTTAGCAGCATTAACAATCTTCTTTAAAGTAACATGTTTTATAGAAACAACCTTCATACTCTTCTTCTTCTTCTTCTTCTTTGATTTCTTTGTCTTAATCTTTTTATATTTCTTATTAACTTTTATCCCCATCCCAAATTTAGACTTGGCTTTCATTATATTAGTTACAGCTAATGCAACTGCTTTTTCACTTAATTTAGCGTCTTTAGAAACAACCCGTTCCCACGCCTTCTCAGCAAGTATTTTATCTGCAGAATTTCTTATAGCCACGTCTTTATCTTTTGAATAAGCTATATCATGATCTTTACAAGCTGCATCTAAAGGGTTTATACCAGAATCACCACGTGCAAGACGTTTTGCTAACTTCGTACCAGGTCCACAATATTGATAACCCGGGAAATGAAACTCGAATGGTAATTTATTGATTATAGTATTGAGAAAACCTTGACCATGACAAGAAATTTTTTTATTATTCTTTTTCACTTTATCATGAGTAATCATTCCTCACTCGACTGTGGTTCACAACTAACTGATTGGATACAGCTATATAAACGCTATATTTATACCTATACCTTCAGTCGATTTCAAGATGCGGTTTAATGTACAAGATGTTCAACTCCCAATAGTGAATGTTGATAACCTTCTTCCAAACAAGGATGATGGTGTAAAACGTTATGGATGTTTATTTTCAAACAGCATTCGTGCTGCTTTTTGTGGACCATCAAATTGTGGAAAGACAAATGCTCTTTTGTCTTTAATCATACATCCGAATGGTTTAAGCTTTGAAAATATATATTTATATTCAAAGTCTTTACAACAACCAAAATATCAATTTTTAGAAAAAGTTCTCAGTAAAGTTGATGGTATTGAATACTTTCCATTTAGAGAACATGAAGAAGTGGTTTCACCTAAAGACGCTAAACCAAATTCAGTATTTATTTTTGATGATATTGCTTGCGAGAAGCAAGACAATGTAAGAGCATTTTTTTGCATGGGTAGGCATGTCAACGTTGACAGTTTCTATCTATGTCAGACATATGCCCACATTCCCAAACATCTTGTTAGAGATAATATTAACTTACTAGTACTTTTTAAACAAGATGAGAGAAACCTTAAGCATGTTTATAACGATCATGTAAATACAGATATGACTTACAATCAATTTCGTGATTTATGCTCAACATGTTGGAATTCTGATAGATATGGGTTTGTTGTTATAGACAAAGACCGAAATTTAAATGAAGGAAGATATAGAAAAGGTTTCGATTGCTTTATTCAGTTATAAGTATCTATTGGTTTACAACTTTCATTAGTATAATTTTAGACATCAATATATAAACATGTTTCGGAAAGAACGAGAAACGCTTCATGAAATAGCAAAAGCGAGTGATGCTATACGCAAGAAACATCGTATACTTAAAAGTGGTAGAGAGACTGCAGAAAATATATTGAAAGAAACTTTTCAACCATTAGTTACTCCATTGGAGAAATTGGTGAATAGAAATTATAATCCAATCAAGAGTGAAAATGTATCAAAAAAAATAAAAAAGGAAGAAGAAGAAGAAGAAGACTTTGAAACAACATTCAAGACTGCTGTTAGTGACGATGAACCATTTGATATACCTGCGTATAATAACTATACATTTGATGATCCTATATCTGAAGTAGAAGATTTAGAAAATATAAAAAGTAGAAATATAATTGATGACTTATCAAATCAAGAGTACCAAGATGTTATATATGAGCAAAACGATAGGTTAAATGATAATTTAACAGTTCAAGAGTCTTATGAGCAGAATAATATACAACAACAACAAGATTCCGACAAATTAACAAATAAATTCATAACATTATTGAATAAAAATAGAAAACAATATTTGGATATGGTTTACGGAGTGCGGAAAGTTAAAGATAGAGGTTTCATGATAGGTAATACAGAAATTAATTTTGATGGTCCTCTGATAGACTTAGGTGGAAAGAAAAAATATACTAAAACAGATGGATTACTAGAACTTTTATTTAGAGAAAAACCTAATGAAGATACTATAAGTTCAGATGATTTAGTCAACTATAAAGAAATATTACAAGCTACTAATGCACATAGAAGGAATTATAGTCCAAATAAACCTATTCGTATAAACAACAGTTTTAAATATACAAATGTTATTGCAAAGCTTTATCAGAAAACTGGAGAATCTTTACAGAAAAAGAATTTATTACCGCAATCTATGTTGGTGAAAAAAGAATCATATTCAGACTACATCTACTGGGATGATCCAAATGAACTTGTTGATCGTTTACGATTACTTATAGCATCACGACAAGCTGGAAATCCGAGTCATAACAATGAAATTATGAGTATTATTGAAGAATTACGTGAAAGTAAAATTATATATTAAGTGTGTGTATATAAATTTTGAATCAGTATTGTGTTGAGTATTGATGTATTCATATATACCTTAAAATGGATAACAAAAAGTTAACAGTTGTCACAGAATTACATAGACAAGCTAGAAGAAATTATCCACGTCGTAAAGTACAAATGCGTGGTGTGGATGAAACATGGCAAGCAGATTTGGTTGAAATGATACCATATTCGAAAGTTAACAAAGGATTCAAATATATGCTTACTGTTATAGATATATTTTCCAAGTATACATGGGCAGTACCTGTAAAAAGTAAATCTGGGAAAGATGTTTCTACTGCTATGAAATCTATACTCAAAGATGGACGTATACCAAAAAATTTACATACTGATAGAGGCAAAGAATTTTATAATTTAATATTCGAGAATTTAATGAAATCATATAAAATTAAATTGTATTCAACATATAGTAATTTAAAGGCTTCAATAATTGAAAGATTTAACCGAACACTTAAAAATATGATGTGGCCGCAGTTCAATTTAAGAGGAAATTATAAATGGGAAGATATATTACCATCTCTAATTTCAAAGTATAACAACCAGAAACATCGAACTATTGGTATGAAACCCAAGGATGTCAGGAAACAAGATGAAAAAGAATTATTGAAACGCATCTCAAAACAGAGGAAAATTTTAACTAAAAGAGCAAAATTCAAAGTTGGTGATAGAGTTCGAATAAGCAAGAATAAACATATTTTTGAAAAAGGAATATACACCAAACTGGACAACTGAAATATTTACCATCTCTCAAGTTAAATCAACAAAACCAGTAACATATAAGTTGAAAGATTATCAAGATCAACCCATCGAAGGTGGTT